CACACGTACACACACACACATACACACGTACACACACATGCACACACACGTGCACACATGCACACACGTACACACACATACACATATACACATGCACACACATGTACACACACGTACACACATACACATGCACACACACACACGTACACACATACACATGCACACACACGTACCCATGCAGCACACTCATGAACATACACTTTTGTGCTTGCACGTGGGCTCACGTGCAGAGGCACACACATGCGAACACACCTAACTCACAGCTTATCAACCTTGGCATGCATCTGCGTGCTTCCCTTAAGTGGGAACCTTTAACATTTTCACTGGAATCAGACGCTCCCTGCCTGTCCTCAGCACCAGCATCACTCGGCCTGGGCTTCAGGCAGAAGGAGGAGAGGCGGGGTCACTTGAACTTCAGCTCTGGGGTACTTGACAGCCAACCCCACAACCTGGGCAGCTACTGAGTGAGTAGGGTAGTACATACAGTGTGGATCCACTGAGTGCAGGGACAGAGCAAGACCCGGCCTGAGCCAAGGACGTCGTCGTTTGTCCCTCAGGGCTGGCGCCTGTGTGCTGGGCCCACAGAACTTCCCTCCTGGAAGCCTCATGCAACTCCATAGCAAACAGAGACGACAAACCCACTGGCCATTTACCATCCCCCACCCCACGTGCTGGTCATCTGAGACAGACTCACAGCACCCCCTGCCGCCCTGGAACTCAGAGACCCACCACCCTCAGCCCTTCCTCATGCTGGGACCAAAGGTGTGGCCACCACACCTGGTCCATGTTTATACCTTGTTTCCTAATAGTCACATCCACAGGGCTGGGCCCAGTGGGTGAGGTTATCGAGGTGTGAAGTCCCAGCTTCTGTCCCGGCTTCTGTCCCCGCTCCACAGAAAGCAGGTGCTGTGGCCCACACCTGTCACCCCAGCACTCAGGAGGTGGAGGCAGGAGGATCAGAAGTTGGTCAACCTCAGCTACATAGGGATTTGGTTTTTCTAAGACCGAGTTTCCCTGTGTAGCCCTGGCTTTCCTAGAACTCCCTCCGTAGTCCAGGCTGACCTTGAACTCACAGAGATCCGCCTGCCTCTGCCTCCCGAGTGCTGGGATTAAAGGCGTGCCACCACCGCCCGCCTACATAGGGTTTGAGGCCAGCTTGGGCTGCAGGAGACCCTTGCTCCGAACTAAGGTTCTCACAGTCTGCAGTTCTCATTCATTTTCTAAGGAAGAACACTGGAGTTTTTGTTCTTGGCCAGGCTAAGACAGCCGCCTGGGTGGGCTGTGCTCAGACTTGCCTCTGAGCCTCTCAGATGAACACAGGACAGGAGCTGGAGGGACAGGGGATCGCAGTAGGCCTCTTTGGAGAGCCGCTGAGGTGTCTGTTACTCAGACATGGAAGCAACTGGTGTTAGTCATTCAGACATTTTTGGGAGTCTGGTGACAAGTTTCATTTGTTTGACAGAGTCTCTGTAGCCCAGGCTGGCCTGGAACTCACTTTGTAGCCCAGGCTGGCTTGTGAACTCCAGGAACAGCCCTACCCCCACCCCATCCTTGCATTCATCCCACCATCGCTGGGTCACTGTGGGTAGCTTTTCAGAGGGTTCTGGGGTGCGAACTCGGGTCCTCCTACCTTCAGGGGAACACTTTGCTGACTGAGCCCTCGGCTTCAAAGGCTGGATTCGTTCATCACTCCTTACTCATTCCTGCGTATGTATATACAAGAGATTTTTCTTACAAAATATTTCTGTTTTGCTCTCGTAGCCAAGGGTCTGATATGGCCCAGGCTGGCTTCAGACGCCTTGTCTTGTCCGCCTCATGCTCCAGCCTCCACCTCGGTCCAACGCCGCTGTGCCCCCTGCACTGCGTGGTTCTGGCGCCATCTAGTGCTCGCCCTGGGCAGCGCAGGCGGGCTCATCCCTGGCATCTTGGGGGCACACTCTTTTAACCTGTGTGTCTTTAAACAACAAACAAACAAAAAGGCATTAGGGGCTGAGAGACGGCTCAGCGGTTACGAGCGCTGTCTGCTCTCCAAGAGAACCTGGTTCCGTTCACACCCAACTCGGCGTGGTGCGCACACACATGTAGGCAAACGCCCACGCGCGTTAAATAAATAAAACTTTTTAAAATAAAAAATAAATAAACGACTTTAGGCAGGCAAGGTGGAGGCGCCAGCACCGCAGAACTCGGTAGAGGGGGCAGCAAATGCGGACCGAGGCTTGCCTGGGGGAGACCCTGCGATTGAGTTTGGCGGGAGGCTCAGGGTTGCCTGGAGGCCACAGGAACAAGAAAGGCTGTAGGGCAGCGTAGATGGCCCGGAGGGGGGAAGGCGCAAACCCCAGGCCTGTTTAGTACATGGACTCTGAGGATTTGAACTCAGGTCCTCACTGTTTGTGCGGCAGGTGCTCTATCCATGGAGCTGTCTCCCGGCCTCAGTGGCCAGGGTCCCTCAGCTTCAACTCTGGTTTAGAAGCAACTGCAGAGTTTGGTGCCCGGGGATCCCAGGGTATGTGGTCGCCTCCTCACCACGGCTCTCTTCCACTCTAGGTCCGAGCATGCAGAACTCCGAGGGCGGAGCAGATTCGCCAGCATCAGTGACTCTGCGACCTGCAGCCCAGCCCGTGCCAGCCTCCCCACAGGTGACTGTGCCCGCCGCGTGTGCCTTTCCCCCCCGCTCTCCCTGGTGTTTGAAAGGTGCCACCAAAGGAACCCTGAAAAACACAGATGTGGACAGAATTCTTAGGATGGCACCTCCTCTCCTCCTTTCTACTTTCCTCCACCTTTCTTCTCCTCCATCTCCTCCTCCTCCATCTCCTCCTCCTCCATCTCCTCCTCCTCCTCCATCTCCTCCTCCTCCATCTCCTCCTCCTCCATCCCCTTCTCCTCCATCCCCTCCACTCCCTCCTCCTGCCTCAGCCTTACCTTCTCCTTCCCTGAAGGCTGGGGTTGCTGATATTCATCACACCCAACCTAACCCTAATATTTGTAGTTTTTTGGGGTTTTGAGACAGGATCTGATGGAGCCTGAGCCTCATTTATGTGGTGCTGGAAATGGTAGCCAGGGTGCCGTTCATGTTAGTCAGGCTACAGCCCCACCACACTTATCTATCTATCTATCTATCTATCTATCTATCATCTATCTATCTATCATCTATCTGTCTGTCTGTCTGTCTGTCCGTCCGTCCGTCCGTCCGTCCGTCCGTCCGCCCATCCATCCACCCATCCATCTATCTTTCTATCTTGAATGAGTTCTCACTCTGTAGCACAGACTGGTTTCAGATTCGCAGCTAATTCCCCTGCCTTGGCTTCCTGTGTGCTGGAGTCACAGGTGTGTGCCACCACGGTGAGGGGTGTGCTGTACGTGGACACACACCTGGGTGTAGTGTGTGGTTGCCAGGGAGAGGGCGGGAGGCCTCTTTCCCTCTCTACCTTATCCTGCCGAAACATGGTCTCTCGGAGCGAGCGACGCTGGCAGCCACAGCCCCGTGACCTGTTGTCTCTGCCTCCTGGGTGCTGCGGTCACAGGGACTCGAAGCCACGGGCTTTTGTGTGGGTTCTAGGATTCGGACTCATGTCCTCAGCTTGTACAGAAAGGGCTCCTACCCAGGGCCATTTTCACAGCCCTTCCTAATTACTCTTTTTTTTTTTTTTTTTAGATTTATTTATTTATTGTATGTGTGAGTGCTCTGTCTGCATGCACGTTGAATGCCAGAGAGGGCATCAGACCCCATTACAGATGGTTGTGAGCCACCATGTGGTTGTTGGAAATTGAACTCAGGTCCTCAGGAAGAGCGGCCAGTGCTCTTAACTGCTGCTCTTAGCGTCTCTCCAGCCCCGCCCCCTCACCCTTTAATTGAGGTGGGATTGGCACAATATAAAATGAGCCACGTGAAAGCAGACTGGTTTTTATTGTAGTCACGGAATTCAGGCATCCTTTCTCTCTAGTTCCAGAACATTCCATCGCTCCCCCCCCCCAGTCTATCCCCCTCAGCAGCTGTGCGTCCCTTCCCTGTCCTGATCGACTTCCTGTCTCTAGGTTCTCCTGTCCTGGAGCCCCACGTCTGTCCTCAAGGTCTCTCCATGCTGTGACGGGGTCCCCGCTTTCTCAAGTGTGAGGACAGACGCCACAGCGTGTCTACAGTCATGTGTTGGGGTCCCTGCGGTGGCCTGCGCCCCAGTGGTGCTGATCTGGCTGTAG